GGTAGGCACTTGTGCTGCTGAGCTAAATCCCTGGCCCTACTCTATTTTTTTTTTTTTAAATCTGTGACTGCTGTTGAATCACCAAGCATGTCTTTAATTATGGTCACCATCTCTGTAGTCATCTGAGAAATGATCTGACTTGATTTTTTTGTAAAATCTTTATTAATCTGCTTTGTTACTTCTGCCGTTAGCAATTCAGAGACTTCAGGTGAGCAGCTTTAGAATTACCCCACCTTGGGCTGGGGATTTAGCTCAGTGGCGTAAGTGCCTGCCTGGCAAGCACAAGGTCTTGAGTTCGATCCCCAGTGCAAAGAATTACCCCACCTTGTTGCCCCTTGGGTTTGCCTTTGGTGGACTGGAATTGCATCTTGCTTAAGGGTCTTCTTTCTTTCTTTTTTGTTTAAATCCTGGGTTTTTGTAAATTGCTTATGTCAGTACTAGCTTTACTGCTAGTATTTAGAACCCTCAGGAAATGACTACTGTTATAGGTGTATTCCAGATAATCTAGCTTAGGGGTTTTGAGTCTGTCTTAAGAGCCTGCCTCTTTATTTGAGATGAGAAGTTATTTAGTATACTATAGTATCCCTATGGTATTTTTATGATCCTTAGACATTCTCAGCTTGGAATACCAAAAAGAACAACTGATTACAAGAATTATGTCAGGCCAAGCATTTAGTTCTGTGGTACAAGCGCCTGCCTGACAAGCACAAGGTAGTGAGTTCAATCCCCGTACCAAAAAACAAACAAACAAAATAAAAGAATTATGTCACTTTGGCTACTATGGTACAGTCAGCAATAACAGTAGTATCAAACATAGCCTAGAAGATGACAAACTGTGGTGACTATTAATTGGCCAGCCATTAACCAAATGAACTAGATTTGTGGTTATATAACAGGTTATAAAACAAGCCAGAAAGTCATATACAGTAAATAAGCCTCAAGACGGAGATTTTACTCTCAGGGGAGAAAATTTAAAAGGGATGGGGAGGAAGGGGAGCAGAGAAATAGAAGAAGAAAAGATTAGAAGCAAGGCTGGAGGAGAAAGGAAGATTACATAAATTTGGGGAAATTGGTTAAGAAGACAGGAGGGAAAGAAACAAAGAAGCAGTAAGAACAAGACCAGAATAACAAGAGCAAAAAACTAGATACCATGTTCACACTCATATAAAAACATGACCAGTCAAGGGGGCGGGGGGGGACGATAAGAAAAGAAAGAAGATAAGGGGGAGAGATGTCCACTTTAAGGTATATGGCTTCTCTGCTGTCACCAGTAAACAACATGGATGATGTTGGATCTGTGCGATTAATCCCAGCAAGCTAGCTGTAGGTGTATGGTGGGATGGTAGATAATCCCAGCAAGCCTGGACCTTTAGTTCTACTGAAATTCAGGCTGGTCTCTGGCTATGAGACTGGATCCCAGTTTGTTCAGCCTATAACACTCAGTGTGCCTCCTCCTAGCTTGAACGTGGCCCCCTGTCCTCCTGCCAGTTTGAACTCAGTTCTGCCTTACCCTGACACTGGGAACTATTAGGTGGAGCCACCCACAGTTGGCCCCTCGCTAAGATGGCTACCAGCCAGTCACCTTCTCCTGGCCGACATCTGAACCCAAATAACAGCCTCTGGAGTCTGATGAATCCACTGCTCCATCCCACTGATAATGTTTCTCCACGGAGGCCTCTGAGATCATCAGGAGCCACCTTGTGTCTGCAGGTTCAGGCTGCCCCTTCCACGCAAGTAAGTCAAGGCTCAGAGATAAAGTGCCACCTGCCACCTCCTCTTCATTGAAGCTTTTCTGTTAGCTCTCTCCATGAGCTTCGCTTCTCTCTAAGGCTCTTCCTGAGTCCTAAGGACCCACTTTCCTCCTCCTTCTTTTCCACATCTTGCTATAATCCAGCATCTGGATACCAAGTCTTGTACTGTAGATTTTATTATAATTCTATCAGTTGTTCCCAAAAGTTCCTTCATAGGTTCTCAGGAGTCTTCTGACCCAACTGTGGTCAATATTCAAATACATAGGGTATCACATAATTTATTTTTATAGTTAAAGTTATTATATGTATTTGATGAATAAATTTTACAAGTCAAGACTGTTACTTTCCCAATTTTAAGTGGATCCAGTCATAAAATGGATGATTCACAGAGAAAAAATATATAAATTGTGTTTGGCTCGGAATTTAACTGTATTAGAGTACCTGGACTCAATCTCAACACTGCGGGGAAAAAAAGACTATTAATAATCAGACATGCAAATTAGTAAATAAAATAAGACTGCTTAGCATTCTTTGCTCCGGTGTCAGTAGAGGTGTAGATTGTTTTGTTTCCGGAAATGCATTGAACATATGCCACTGGAAGAATCTGTGTCTCTTTTCTTAGCTTTTTAGCATAACCATTTATAGAGAAATGGTGTCTGGGTGGAGTTTAGTATTCTGGCTTACAAAAGTAGTAACAAAAAACGTTTGCCCATAATTGGTTTAGTAAAATAACAAAAAAAATTTTAAAACTACCTATAACTAATACTAGGATAATTTTTTAAATTTCTGAATGCAGTGTCAATGAATCTCTTTAGATGCCTAGACTTTTAGGTTGAAGAAAAATCAGTTTTTAAGCTATATACACTTTTAGAGCTGTTTTAGAATGAATTACGTTGATCACATTCCTTTATCCCATAATACTTGTTCCTGCTTCCTTTGTTTGTTTACCTATTTTTGAGACAAGGTCTCAAAGGTCAGTTTGTAGCAATCCTGCCTCACCTCTATAATACTTTTATTGCATTTCCTAAGAGCAGAGATAGGCAGGTGGCGTCAGCTGATATTTATTTATTTCAAAACAAAAGATAGAAACAATACAGAAGTTTAAAACAAATAGGAAATAAAAAAACAAATAGGAAATTAACATTAGTTAATATGTTGAAAGTAGTTGTTCAGAATGTAAGATTCAGGGATAAAAAATGATCAACCAGACAATTCAGTTGATATTTCTCTTAAATCAGTGGCAAATAAATGTGAATCCAAAGTGTATTATGTGTGAAATTTCCTAACGAATGTGTACATTTTTAATGTGGCAGTCAGGAGGCCTCCTCTGAAGGAAGAACCAATCTTCAGTCTTTCCTGTTGTACTCACAACTTCTGACACCAGCTTTTAGCGATTTTTCCCATACAGTAAGTAAGCTGTCAGTTCTTCAGTGTTCACCTGCTGGGTGTCCTCTAATTTAATCTATTCTGACTCTGGAGATGTCAGGCCTCACAAGGGGAGGGGCTCAGTGCCTAAGACTGTCCCTCTTTAGATGCTAGTTGCAGGTCCCAGATTATTTCACCTATTGGAGACCAATGGGCTATAGATTGAGATTACACTGTGCCCTTGTGAGTTCGACTAATGTGTTCAAGCAGCTCACAGAATTCAGGGGCACACTGAGGTTTACTGGCCTATGATAAAAGATACTACAAAAAACATAGATGAAGAAATGCATAGGGCAGGGCCTGGAGCTTTTTGGGAGTGTGCCACCCTCCTAGAGTCTCCATGTCCAGCCATCTGGATGCTCGGCAAACCTTGTCCTTTTAGATTTGAAGACACACACCCTGCCACAGCCCCACCAAAGGCATGGACAACCATGTAGAAAGGTAATTGAACAAAAAGGTTATTTTTTAATGCTTGTAGGTGAGGAAACTGAGTGAACTTTTGTTCAGATTTTTCTTGGTCTTTCTGAGCAGCATTCCTTCCTGCTGTGTATGAAGCAAAGATAACCTCAGACATGAGGGTTTATGACCTGTCAGACAAGGCAGATCATAGAATTTCTTTATAGCCAGCTCTTAGGACAGAAATGGAAAAGAAGATAAGAGTCTGTGTCCTGCCTTGAAGGGAGAATTGTGAGCCAGGAACCATGAGTGAAAACTAGTACCCCAGCGTGACTTCCCAGTCCTTTACCTAGCTTTTCCCCCGTGGTCCCAGCTTGTCATTTCAGTGGGTACCTGGCTTACGCAGGCTGTTTCACTGTGGTTATTTAGGAACGTTGATTAAACTTGGTTTTCCTGCCTTTTATTAAAACCTAGGCCACTGAAAAGTTGCCTTTGGCTTTATGAACCAAGCATAGCATGGGCTTGTTAGCACTCTGGAAGGCAGACAGCAGGCCTGAGGGCCCCCAAGCCATTTCTCATCTGGTGCTGTAAGAAGCGTGAGGGCAGTAGTGAGCTGCTGGAGTAGGAGCCCCCGGGAGCCAGGACGTGGACTAGGTGTGAAAGCACCTAGGTTGTCTTGTTGGGCCTGCATGACAGCTTCTTTCCAATATTCTCAAAACCGGGCCGGACTGTGACAGGAAGGAAGGAGATGTACCAATATGGCTGGAGGTGATGTGGGTTGGCAGTAGCACAGCCACCAAATAGACATTTTAGCGGTCAGGCAGACTTGACAGTCCTTACTATGTCGAGCGATTGAGACAGCATTTCTTCTTGGAAGTAAGTATTAGTCCTTTGGCAGTGGTTAAGAGGATGCTCTTATAGTCAGATAGACCTAAGTTCAAGCGCAGACCGCGTAGGGGTAAGGGTATGGGTATGAGTCTTCCAGGGACAGATTTGCCTCAGGGAGGTGGGGCCACTTCATCTCCCCAGCACGGATCTCTGGTAGGCTTTCGTGGTATAAACTAAGTTGCGGTGGGTCTGGGTGTGATGGTACGGGTTAGGGTTAGTTTTTTGTTGTGGTTGTTGGTTTGATTTGGTTTGTTTTGTTTTTGTGAGTGTTTTTAATTTGAAAAAGTAAGAGAGCGTATATCTACCCTTGAGGTGTTGTACAGTTAATTATATAAGGTGCTTAGCATAGTCCCTGGTACACACAGTAAGTGCCAACTACCATTATGGCGGTTCATGTTTTTGCCTTGTTCTTGGCTGTTATCACTTCAGTTTTTGCATTTCTAGGCTTCCTTTTCCCACTAGCCAAGGTTCCCTCTTTGTGTAGCCCTGTCCTCTCCTGGCACTATTGACCCTTATTGACAAGTAATGCTTCCCTTTCAGATGTCCAACATCACAGTCACGTACAGAGATGGCCGAGTGGCACAGCTGGAGCAGGTGTACATCCGTGGCAGCAAGATCCGCTTCCTGATTCTGCCTGACATGCTGAAAAATGCACCCATGTTAAAGAGCATGAAAAATAAAAACCAAGGCTCAGGGGCTGGCCGGGGCAAAGCTGCTATTCTGAAGGCCCAAGGTACGTGCTTCATGATTTTTAAAAACGATCTTGCGATTTTTAGGAAAATGCCCTGTTATTGCCTGAGGACAGAAATGGACTTGACCTCAGCTCTCTGCACACTCAGTGTCACCCATTTTCCCCAGTCATGAGAGACCCTTTGAGGCATTGGGGGCCTTGCCCTGCTTCTTTTATCTCATTGATCCCAATCATAGGGCTTGTGCAAAATTCAAAGCTTCTTTAAATAGGTGGATTCCTTGTCTTAAGTGAAATCTGTAATGAATTTCGGGTAAGTTTTTCCCTTCTAGAAGTTCTGTCCAAGATGTTCGGAGCAGCTTGCTCTTACCTACTTTACTGAGCACACACCAGGGTGTGGATAAGCTGCCTCCTGAAGCAGTAGAGCTGTATTCCTAGGGAGACTTGGTGGTGTGTGTTGGGGAGATGTGGACAGTGGAAATCCCTTTCCGGATATAAACAGGTTTGAGTCATCTTTGCCCACTATTGGGAGCTGCACTTCTAATTTCAAAGATGCTTGTACTTGAAAATAAATCCCTTATTTAGCACACCTTGTGAGACCAGCCTGTCCTTAGTAGCTCAGCCTGGCTGTTCTTGTTAAGAGTTAACCCAGTCAAGGATTACTGTGGGGTTCGAGGCCAGCCTGGACTACATAGTGAGACCCTGTCTCAAAAAAATAATAAAAGGAAAGAGTTAGCCTAGTTAGGTTATTTACTTGGATCAGTGAGAAGGTCTACCACATTATTAGATAAGAAGGCAAGAGTAGTCATTAGAAAAGTTCTTAATGTTGGGAGTAAGATTAGGCAGCAAAGCCAAGTGTGGTGGTACATGCCTATCATCCTAGCACTCAGGAGGCTGAGGCAGGAGGATTGCTATGAGTTCAAGGCCAGCCTAGATTACATTGTTCTCTGGTTTTGTTTTGTTTTGTTTTGTTTTGTTTTGGGTACCAGGAATTGCACTCATGACCTTGTGCTTGCCAGGCAGGTGCTTATGCCATGAGCTGTATTTCCAGCCCCTCAGCCTGGGTTACATTGTGAGTTTAAGCCCAGCTTACATAATAAGGCCCTAGATCCTCCAATGATATCTTCTGCTGCATATTTTATATACTGGGTAGCTTTTGAGTTCAAAAATGCAGTAGTAATTTAAAATTCCCTTAATGCTGCCCTCACTGTCATAATGAATTTGCAATGTCTTTTCTAGCCAAGGGGGAACTCTAGGTAGCTGTGTGTTAAAAAGTAGAGTTTTCCCAGATCCAGTGAGTTCTGGAGCCATTTGGGCCTCTCCCGACTCTAGTCCTTGCAGCAGGTAGGTGGGTTCTTCTAGGATTTCTCTCGCTCTTCAGCTTGGCTTCTGGCTCTGGAAGAGCAAAGAAGGGTGAGACTGCAATTAGTAATGACCAGAAGATTTTCATCAATTCTTCAAGGGCTCTTGTCCCCTCCTAAAACCTCTGGGTCACAGAGAACAAAAGTTTCTTAGTATGCTTTGTATAGGAAATGTTATTTTGTTTTTGCTGTTATGAAACACTTTTCATGCAGAGAATTTTAAAGATTGCTAAAAACCATTGCCCAGAATTAACAGTTAACAGATGCTAAGGCTAATTGCATTTGTTCAGAATTTTACAGTGAATTAAATTCATCTGTAATGTTTTGTTAGCTTACCCCAGACCAGCCCTAGAAATTTGTCTTTTCTGTGGTTCCTCAGACAGACTGCTTTTGTTCTCTGTGCTGTTGCCTAGCCATTCAACAGAGCAGTGCTGGCCCCTAAGCTGAGCCAGGCGTCAGCACCAGGCCTGCCCTTCCTGTGTCTCCATCCTCGCTGTGAAGTGTGCCAGGCCAGGGTAATGTTGGAGCTGGTGGCCTTTCAGGTCTCTCTCTGAACTGATGTCCCAGAGTTCCAGTTGTTCTGTACCATGAGCATCCACTGACCGTGCTAACCTATCTTCATCCTTTCTCTTCCTCTTTTTCAGTGGCTGCAAGAGGAAGAGGACGTGGAATGGGACGTGGAAATATCTTCCAGAAGCGAAGATAACTTTCTCTGTTAAGCAGAACTGTCCCTGCATTTTTTATTTAGGATATCTTGAGTTCATGAGGGTGAATATATGTCTTAGGGGTTTTATTTGACCATTTTCTGTTTAGATCAGAAGAAATGTTAAGCTAAATAAATCTGGTTGCTTCATTTTTTGAGAAAATGAGGGCTCTGTGTTTATATTGGAGTTTTCTTTGGCGTCAGGTTAAATTTTGACACCCTTGGAGAATGCCAGAACTTAAATGTAGCACAGATATTGATAGAGTTTAAGTTGCCGTTCACTGGTTGAGCCCAGAAAAGCTCACTGCAGAGAAGTCCTAAAGATACACACTGAGTCTCATTCATCTTCAGACACAGACACATAATAAACACTTTGTTCTGTTAAACTTTTGTGGAAATGTCCTGAGCTGACTTCAACAACACAGCTCATTCATGCTGGCCCATGAGACGGTCCAATACTCTGTCCTGTGTAGTGTGGTAATCCTAGTGGTTTTGCATTTGGGTAAAACAACCAAGATACTAAAAAGTAATTCGGGGATACTGGTTACCCCCAGCTGTGGCTCATGTCTTGGCTATACAGCAGTTTTATGGTCATTTGAGGAACAGATTTTGTTTATCAAAGTGCCTCGGCATTAATTTGTACATTATTTAGGAAAGAGAGCTAGAGAGGATAAAGTGAAAATTGTGACAACACAGAAATTGGGAAAACAACCTGAGGAAATGAAAATACTGAAAAGAAATCGTGCCACAGATTGAGTAAAAGATAAGCTACAGCAAAAAGCTCGAGAGGAAATGGGATCAGTTGTTGATCCTTAAATATCAGTGAGTTGATCCTTGCCCCCAGGTATTTCCCCTTCATTATAACCAACAGCCAGTACCTGCCTCAGCTTCCCAAGTGCTGGATTACCCAGATCTGTGGAAATATGGGTCAGATAAACTCTTCTGAGAGCCACTGATGGGTCAAACAACAGATGTGTGCACAATTGTGATTGCTATCTCTAAATCAGCTTCTTCCAAGTGGGAAGAATCCCTGCTTCCTTCCATCCTTTCCAGCACTATACATTATCATTCCTAGCTTTCCATCCAAAATTGTTTTAGTTTGCTTTTCTATGGAGGTTATGATCTTGTCATAATTAACTTGTTGATTTCTTTGTGATGAACCGTTTTTCTGACCCTTTGCCCATAAAGCAGGCATTTTTAAAATAAGGCTTCAGAGACTATCTCTCTAGAGCAACCCTGTTTTTCTTGCTCCAGTGCCCCTGGCTTCTTTGACACATTTGGGCAACACGAGGCTGGTGGCCTCTGTAGACAGCGCTGCTGTTTATGTCCTCTGGAACCGGTGGTCATTTTAAATGAACTTGCTACCAATGGCATTGAATAATTTGTGTTAGATTTGGCTGAGACAAGTTATAGTTTATTTTTGACAAGAAACTTGTGCACTGAGTTACATACACAGTGAATTTCTCTGAATTCATTCAGGCGGAATCTGTGCTACCCAGTACTATCCTGCTTAGATTACCTAGTGTCTGCTGCTGGTGACCTTCGTTTGCAGACATTCACTTACTGACTACTATTATGGAAGCCCACTTGACCGTTAATCCACTGAGTGAGAGCACTGGTTTTCACCACCTACTAGGTAGGGATCCTGTTAAAAACGAAGGTTCTAAGGCAGGGCCCAGCATATGCATATTAAACAATGCCCTTGTACTCCTGCTGAGTGATTCTTTTTTTTTTTTTTTAATTTTATTTAAAAAAAGACTAAACAAAACAGAAACTAGGTAGAAATAGTACATTCAGAGAAAAAAATCACTAGTTGATGTTTACATATTGTCATTTTACAAATAGTTGTTCAAGATACAAAATGGAACATGTAAGTGGGAATTCAAACAGCGAGAGCGCAAGCAGTTCTGTTCAACTGTCCAACAAAAAATAACATGGTTGTCAGTCCTATACACTTAAACATACATACATACATACACTTAAACATAACATACAGTTATCCATATCTTCATTTATGTTTAAACAAACTAAAGCAGGTTAAAATCATTCTGAACAAAGAATAATAGTATTGCTGGATTTCACATCATGACATTCCATGATCAGCACTGGGTACTGTAGTGTCTTTTTTTAAAATTTAAAGCAAGACTAAACAAAACAGAAAACGGGTAGAAATAATACATAATTTTAAAGAAAAAAACAAATCACTAGTTGAAGATTACAGATTGTCTTCTTACAAATAGTTATTCAAGATACTAAAGTGGAGCTTAAAAAGTGGGGATTCAAACTGAGATTGCAACCAGTTCTGTTCAACTATCTAACAAAAACTTAGAAATATGGTTATTTAATCCTATACACTTAAACATACATGCAGTTACCCATCTCTTCAATTATGTTGAGATTGAGTAAACCCAAGCACGCTGATATCACTCTGAACAAAGAATAATACTGTTGCTGGGTTTCACATTATGAAACCCCAGGATCAGCACTGGATATTTTAGTGTCTCTTTTTCTTCAAAGTATCTGTTCATTTCATCATGTGTCATATGATCAGTTCTCATAAACTGTTACAGATTCTACACATGCATGAGTCTTAACATGTTATTTCTATCCTTCCTATATTAGAGGGAGAAACAAAATTTCTATTCTTTCTATATTAGAGGGAGAAACAAAACAAAGCAAGGCAGAACAAAACATTCCTATAAATACATGAAATAAACATAAAACCGTTATACAAAGAGTTCTACCATGGTTCCTGTGTTGTCTCTTGTTATCTCCAATAGAATTGGCTATATCATCAGACATAGTATAATTGAATATATCAGTACATAACAGTATTAATAAAAACACAACTTTGTATATAGTATAGAACTTTAAAAACCGGCAGTTATCAAACCAAAATGTGTATTGTAGAGTCTTGTCATCTTCAGTGTAGCTGCCTGAACTCTCAGACTTGATACTATCAATCATATCAATTTTGAATAAAATCTCTGCCTCATTTCTGTTATGCTCTTTTTTGCCATCAGTTGTCTAATTATCTTCATTCTGTTTTCTGCTCCATTCATTGAGGCCTCTCTGCCACTGTGAATCCTAGTACTTTTCTCTCTCTCTAGAATGCCCTGGAGTATTCTCTGTAGAGTTGGATTGGTGGTTGCAAATTTCCCAAGTTCCTCTTTGTCTTGGAAGCATCTTGTTTCTCCATTAATTTCTAGAGACAGTTTAGCAGGGTATATCAATCTGGGATGGAGGTTATTTATTCTCTTTCAGGGCTTGGAATATTTTGCTCCAGGCTCTTCTCAGGTTTGTGTCGAGAAGTCTGCCATTATTCTGATGGGCCTTCCTCTGTAAGTTATCTGTTTCTTGTCTCTAACAGCTTTTCATATTCTGCTCTTATATTGAATTTCTGGGATCTTGATTATTATATGCCTGGGTGTAGCTCTGTTTTGGTTGTAGGTGGCTGGAGTTCTATATGCCTCATATATCAGAATATCATTTCCTTTTCCTATGTTTGGGAAGTTTTCCTTAATTATTTCTGTGAATAACCTTTGTAGTTCCTTTGTTTGTATGCCAGTTTCTTCATTTACATTCTTTATTCTCAAGTTATAGATCCTCTTGTCTTCCAGCCTTTGTACTGTTAGTGCTTGTTTCCTTGTTATTTTAAAAAAGTTTTCCCTTTCATACTCCCACACTGCAAAATTGTCCTCCAGTTTGGATAATCTGTCCTTAGTTTCTTTCAAGCTGATTTGCCAACTTTCCATAGAGTTTTTAATTTCCTGGTGATCTCTTTGAATCTGCTTTAATCTTCTTATATCTTGCTTTATTTGGCTAAATATTTCACTTTTGAACTCATCTATGAGGTCCCAAATATATCTCTGTATGTCCACTGGCACTGTGTCTGATATTGCATGTTTGCTGTTCTCATTCTCCTTTGTATTTACCTGTCCTGGGTCAATGTTCTCAGGGTTGGGGCTTAGGACTTTTTGTAGTTGCTTCCTCTACCCATCTTTTTCGTTTCTTCAAGGAGGCCCCAGTTTCTTTCTTTGTTGGTTACAATTCTTCCGGAGCACTCTGGCTAGATGACCCTTCCCACTGCAGTGTGCTAGTGAGTTGCAGACAGGGACAGCATATGCTGGCCCCTCCCCTCCAGATCAGTCAAGCTGCTGTGGCCTGCACTACTGTATTACTTTGCACCGCTTCCCCTCTGGACCAGCCAAACCTCCGAGCCCCCACTGTGCCAGTGTGGTTAGTGTGCACCACCACTGCAGGGACTTGACCTCAGATAACCTATTGGGGCTCACCAGTTCACGTGACCCAGGCCTAGCTCACTCCACCAATCCCATTTGGGAAGGCAGCAATTGACTGAAGTCACTGCTGCCCCTTGTACTTGCCAGTCCTGCTTGGTCCCAGAATGTCCTCCACCAGAGCCCCCCTATTTATGGAATGGCTCCACTCCTGTCACTCACCACAGGTCGATGTAGGCTCCCCGCCAACTCAGCTCTCCATTCAGCTCGCTGACCCTCAAACTCAATGTAACTGTGCCTCCAGTGAGTCGAAGTGACGGGACCTCGGATGGCTCGGCAAGTCGTGGCAGGATCTTAGCAAGTTGCGGCAGGACCCCGGCCAGTCGCAGCGGGACGCCAACCAGTTGAGGCAGGACACCAGCTAGTTGTGGTGGGACCTCAGCAAGTCGTGGCAGGACCCTGGCAAGTCACGGCATTGGCCAGTTGCAGGATCAAAAGTTGGCCTTTCAGATCTAAGATACAATTGGATGGTCGGCAAGTCACCTTAATTTCTTCTTGGGACGAGACAATTCATCTCCTTCTGTTTGGGGCTCCCCACATTATGTTGAATTCTAAGTGGACTATCTCAGCGAACTTCTGTAGCCAATTGTTATCTATCCATCATCTTTGCTCCTCCCCCCTCCCCCGTTTTTTTGTGTGTGTTTTTGGGACATTGTCTCACTATGCAGTTCAGGCTGGCCTTGAGCTCACTTTGTAGCCCAGGCTGGTCTCAAACTCACAAGGATTCTCCTGCCTCAGCCTCCAGAGTGTTGGGATGCATGAGCCACCACGCCCGGCTTTGCTGAGTGATTCTTAGTACATCGGAGGCCAAATTTTGACCCTAGACTGAACTATGTTACTTTATTTTCCAAGTATTTATTTTTGA